ACATCCACTAGGAAACCAGCCACCCAACAAAAACCCGCGCGCGCCCCGCACAGATCGAACTGGACACGATTATGGCGGGCTCATATTGCGCACGATGATGCGCGGGACCCCAATGTGAAAACGACGAAGACGACGGCGATCGCGACGACGACGGCGACGACGACAAAGGCGACGCGCCTGATCCATTGGATCTTTACCGAATTCTCAAGCATTCTTTTCTACAAGGAAACTCACATTCCACCGCCCCGCTAGGCGTGAATTGTTTACGGGGGGAAAGGTTGGCCCCTTCCTTACCCCTTCCCGTGGAGCTGGACGGGGGGCTCGCGAACGGTCAAACGGTACTTTTTCGCCCAAAGCGGCTCCAAGAGCGCCTCAGAAAACCCAGAATGACTCTCAAAGTTCCTCAACGGAACACAAACGCAACATGGCTTCCCAAATTACCCAAGAGACCCCAATGACGCTCCAGGACGGCCCCAAAAAACACCCCAAACCTCCAAGGATGCCTCCAAGATGCCAACATCAGTCAAACACCGAAGGACAACCGGTGATGTTTGCATCGTCGCCCATTCGCTCCCGATCGCATTCCGGGGCCTCGAGATGGCTCCAAAAGGGCCCAAGAGAGGCAACAAGAGCCCCAAAACGAAGCCAAGAGCGCCCACGATCGATCAAAGAGCGCTGTAAGAAGCAATGTTGGGGGCTCCCGAAGGGCAGCGCGAATTGCAAACATCCCCATTGTTGATCGATGTCCTCCAAAATGCCCCCCGAAACTCTTCGAAAACCCACAAAAAAAACTGTCCAAGAGGGCCCCAAGAGGCGCCGAGGAGACCCCAAGAGGCTTCCAAGTGGCCCCCGAAAAAAAGGCCCCACGAGGCTCCCCGAGGCACCCGAGACACTCTAAGAGGCCTCCAGGAATGCTAAGAGACCTCCAAGACGCTCCCAGAGGCTTCCAAGAGATATCCGAAGAGACTGTGACAGGCAAGTCGCCTTGGCATCGTTCCTGGATGGGCTGGTGGGGACATGCGAAGCGGCAAGAATTGTCGCGAAGAGAAAACAAGACGGAACACGCACCGCCAGGAGAAGTAGCCACTCAACAACAATCCACAAGCGATCACCGGTCATAACATTACTCCGAGGGCAGAAGATTCGATCAAACTCGCCACAACTGCGGCGGACTCTTACTCCGCACGATTCACCGCTGGACGCACATGCGGAGACGACGACAAATATCACGAAGACAACGACGACGACAACGGAGACAACGCGCCGAGCCGATTGGAGTTGTAGCGAATAATCTCGCAATCCTGGCACCAACAAATTCAAAGTTCCTGTTGCGCAAGGCTGGTCAGCAAACGCAATCCAACGATAAATCTCGCACCCCGACGACGAACCGCTGGTGAACAACTGTGCGACGACAGTCCGCGGCGCCCGCAAGCGCCTACAAGGAGAACACCTGAATCGCTAGTCCGAGAAGACTCGCGACGTAGCTGGTGCGAGTACACGCTCATTGCCACGACTAGAACGTACTACCACGATTACTGTGCATTATTGTTGTTCGTACTTGTTCATGTTTCTTCCTCTGCTATAATACTACTGGTTCTGTCCCTGAGAAAGAGGAGAGCGATGGGGTCGCTTGCCTTGGGGAGTCTTCCTGTGCGCCCTCCTATGCTCTCGCAGATGCACGACCCAATAATGTGGTCTCGCTGGCTCTAGCTGCGCTGGCAGATCATGGATCTCCTGGTGCCACTTCGCTACCGCCCTGTCCGCGAAACCGGCAGGCTGCTGCGTTTTGAGCATGTTCTCGATCCGCCTCCCCATCGCCATCGGCAGATTCTCCCTCGCGCAACGCGGGATGTCAATGTGAGGCATTTGCCCATCTCACGCGCCGCGGGATCTCGGTCCAACATGCAATTCTTAATCTCAATGAACCTGCGGTCGTTGCCCATGTCGCCCTCATACGCGTAGCCCGCGCGCAGCGCTAAGAGAACCTTGCCCTGCCCGCCGACAGACCCAACGCGGTCCTCATTGAACCAGCGGTGCACCTCATACACGGTCACCGGAACTATTCGCCACCCTGCGCTCAGCTCGATTTTTCTGCCTGTGTCCTTTCTCAACTCCGCTGCCATCCTGCGGGTCAGCGGCGTTCATTTATCGTGCCCCCAGCCCGCGCCCCGCAAGTGCGAGGATCTGGAAGAACAGTCCTCTCAACGGCGGGTCTTCTCCCAACGCATATTTGTTTCAAAATTCGCGTCGACCCTCTCCAAGCTGGTCGCCTTGCAGTAGAAGGGGCACCTGGTCGCTGAAGGGCCAATTCCACGGTCTGTCTAGGTCGCCTCGTCGTCGCCGGAGGCCACGGCGCGGACCTTGGCATCGAAAGCCCTCCGCGTGGCGACCGCCCGCCTGGTCTCCTCAACCGCCACTGGCGACGGCCAGCGCTGCGAATTCAGAAACTTCGCTCTTGCGAACCTCACGATCGCATTGCAGCGGCAGGAACGGCCCTTCGCGGCTGACGAATTCTCGGACAACGTCGCGTCGGACGCTTCCTCAACGGCCCCCACGTGCTTCTTCTCCTGGACGTTCATCCCCCCCCCCTGCCTTCAACCTCGCGTCGCAAAGTTGCAGGGGGGACCTCAGTCCCAACTTCGAAATCAAAGAACAAGCCAGCCCGATCCACGGCACGCCGATGCGGGCGCCCAATCTCGAACCGCGTCTGCACGCCGTCGTGCACCGAAACAATTGGTTATTGCTGCCGCCTCCTTGAGCCTTCACCCCCGCACCTGCCCCACATTCCCGTTCTTCCTCGCGAGGCCAAGTTGCAGCAGGGGGCCGCAACTCCCAGCTGCGAGCTCACAGTTGATCAAAACGGAAGCTGGTTCACGACGCCCGCCCACTCGTTACGCTTCACGCGGGCGTCTCTGGCCAAGTACCGCCAATGAGATCCAAATTTGCTCTCGAGATGTTGCGCACCTGGCATCGTCGCCAACATCGCGATCACGCGAAGGCGCAAATAATGCTTCGCACGGGGGCCCACCCTGCGTTTCTTGCCGGCGACGCACGCTCTTGCGGCTTCAAGGAGGTCAAGCGCAACGTTTTCTCAAGGGGTGAACTTGGAGCGAGAGAAGCGTCTCATAAACTCCCCTGCTCCGTCGCAGGCGCGCTCGCGTCCATCAGAGGAACTGGCTCTGAATCAGCGGCATTCGGCCGGCACTCCGCCTTACTGAGGCCATTGAGCATGTCCTCCAACATCGTTTTCTGAATCACGCGTTTCCTCACGGCTGCGAGCGCGTACTTGTCCTGCCCGCTCAACACATCCCCAGGCCGACCCCATCGGCAGCGGCGACCTGCAAAGACCGCGTCGCGGGGCCTCAACGACAGAGCGGCCGAACACGTCAGCCTGCTTATTGCGCGTGGCCTCGTCGGGCGCCGGACATGGGTACGACGGAAATCAATATGGCCCCAAACACCAGTGCCTGTTCAAAACAGACGGCGGCCGCTGTTGGGCAGGTTGCCTCCCGCGTCAAATGGACACCGACCGAAGAGACGTCGACAACGAACTCTTTTTTCAGAATGAGCAGGAACTGCTGTTGAACTTTGTGCGCAGTAAGTCCGTCTCCATTCCGTTCGTCCCGAGCCTCAATGGCCGCGATCGGGAAGTCGTCCTCCTTATTACCAGGCACGTCAGGCTGCATGCTGGCACGGGCTCACGCCGTCAAGCCTCAAGGCTTGAGCCTCAAATTGCTGCGGAAAAGGCATCGCCATTGTCGTCTCAAACCAGCAACACGCGCTTTGCAGTGAGGCTTTTGACCCACATCTCAGGCACGGCGACGATGCTTCCGACCCACAACTCAGGCACGGACGAGTTGTTTCTCCCCATTCCCCTCCCTCTCCTCCTCTTCCTCCTCCCCCTCCTCCTCTTCCTCCTTCTCCTCCTCCTCCGAATCCCCAGCGTGGAGGGGGGCGCGAGCAGGAGGGCGAGGAGGGGGAGGGCGGAGGACGAGAAGAAGAGCGAGGAGGGGAGCACGAAGAGGACAGCGAGGAGGGAGAACGAGGGGAGCACGAGGAGGACTCAGGGGCCAGGAGAGGGAGGACGAGGGGGAGGGCCAGGAGGCGAGCACGAGGAGGGAGGCGGAGGGCGAGGAGAGAGAGAGAGAGAGAGAGAGAGCCAAAAAGGATGAGGAGTGGAGGAACGAGGAGGGGGAGGACGAGATTCACTGCCCGCCGAAATCTTAGGAGGGGAGTTCATCATTAAAGACCTTCTGCGGCTAATCATGCAGATTTGCCTTCTTCGACCGGGGACTCCGAAGGGCGCGGCTTGCAAAGGGCGAGGATTGCAACTGGCACTCTGGGGGACACCTTGGGGGGGCGGGCGAGGGCCTCGACAGAGCTCTCCACCGCGCCCCGAGGAGGCCCGACGAGGACAGCGTCGTCCTCCCCAGGCCCCAGCGGTGCCGATCGCAAACCACACCCCGGCGTACAGTCGCGGACTTGGTTGGACAGGGCACGCGAGAGGACACAAGACCCTTCCGAGGGCCACATTGCCGCAGGAATGTAAGAGGCATGGGTCGCGAGACACAGGACACAAGAGTACCCTTGCTTCGGCAGGGTCGACCTACTAATCCAGGCCGACTGAAACCACAGTCAACCCGTGCAATCAGAACGCACGGTAAGGATGCAGGGGCCGTGGAAGGCCATGCCGACACCGTGCGGGCGGGACGCGGCCGGGGGAAGCGGCCGAAGAGGGGCCGGAGGGGAAGGCTACAAGGGCAGCCTTGGAAAGCGGTTCCTCCTCACTGTGCGGGCACCCTTTGAGGAAGAGGAGGAGGAGGAGGAGAAATGGAAGGAAGAGGAGGAAGAGGAGGAGGAGGAGGAGGAGGAGGATGAGGAGGAGGAGGAGGGGAAGGAGGAGGAGGAGAAGGAGGAGGAGGAGGAGCAGGAGGAGGAGGAGGAGCAGGAGGAGGAGGAGGCAGTCGCCGACATTCTGCAGCTTTGTCTTCTCCGGGCTCCGCCGCGGAGAGCCCCCGGCGACATCTCTGGCCTGGGCGGCTCCAGGCCGGAGGCCGCGCCGCGGCTGCCGGGGGGAGGGGGCGGCGCGGCGGGCGGGCCCGGGGCCGCGGGCAACCGCGTCCCGAGGGGGGGGGCACCGTCGGCAGCCACTGGCGGCGGTGGCAAGGGGGAGGCCCTCCCAGAAGGCTCGGGCGGTCCCGCGGCCTGCCGATGGGGTTCTCGAAGCCTCCCCCGAAGCCGCGGGATGCCCCTCCTCAGGAGGCCGGAGGGCTCCCGAGGAGGAGTGCCGCCACCCTGGAGGGGGAGGGCCCCTTCCTTCTCGCTCGCCCCCGTCGCTCGCCGGCGAAGCAAGAGGTGATCGAAGCTGCCTCGCTCGGGGGTTGGCAGCGGTGCCCCTGGACCCCAAGGTGCCCCCAGCTCTTCGCACCATCTTGGAGCCCCTGGGCCCTGTGGGCCTCGTGAGGGTTGCCATGGAGGCCGTGCGGGCCTCCTTGGGAATCACCCTGGACCAGGGGCACTCCTGGCAGCACCCGTGCAGCGTTTGACCACCCCTCGCTTCCCACAGGGAACCAAGCGATGCCAACCTACCCGTGGGGGCTGGCCCGCAGCGATCAGGCTGCTAAACGAGGCGGCGCCTGGTGTGACTTGGTCACGCCTGGAAGCGAAGGCGGGGCAGGAAATTCAGCTCTCTAGTGCATAGACGGCCTTCGTCTCTGGAACCCGCGCGGGACTGGAATGCCTGGGGATACTGGGACGTAGGATTATCATGGCTTCAAGCTTTGGACGCCCGAGTTATCCGGGGTAACTCGGGTCCGGGGTAACTCGGGTTTGGGTTCCCGAAAAACGAACCCGAGTTGGCCCTGACCCGAATTACCCCTGATGATTCGGGGCTCTGGACGCCCGAAATATCCGGGGTAACTCGGGTCCGCGATAACTCGGGTTCGGATTCCCGAAAATCGAACCCGAGTTAGCCCTGACCCGAGTTACCCCTGATGATTCGGGGCTCTGAAAGCTCGTCTGGCCCAACATGCCCAAACGTTCGGGGGTGCTTGCAGACTTCTTCCGTTGGCGCCGGCGCCGAGTCCTCTCCCTGGCGCGGGGCACGTGCCAAGGTTGCGCGCCGCCGTGGGGGGCCCGGCGCTGGTCCAAGAAACAAGCGCAGACTCCCGATAGGCGGCGGGCTACACCCTGCGAAATGCTTAAGAAATCATGGGTTGAGAAATTCATAGTTTCAGAATTTGAAGAAAAGCCCAGAACTTCTATTAAAATCATAGGATTTACATTGAAACATGAAGAATAATCGACACTCTGGCCGAAAACTTAAGTTTCCTTAAGCATCGCCTAGGGTGTAGGGGGGAAGTGGGAAGGAGAAGTCCTTCTCAGACCGCGGCGGGGCGGGACTCCTCAGAGGCCCTCCGGCCTCCCGAGAACTCTTCTGCGCCCTCGGGGAAAAGGCTCAGACAGCCTCTTCGGAAGGTCGTGGGACGTCCGAGCCTTCCGAGGAAAGCCTCCTCCTCCTCGCCCCCCCCCCCGGGCTCGCCGCCGACCCGAGCTTCTATGACGCTGCAGATTTGCCCCCCCTCCGGACTCCGAGCCCGCCTGCGCCCGCCGGGCGTCCAGAGCCCGCTTGTGCCTGCCTGCCCAGACCGCCCCAGCCCGACCCGCAGGCCCGAAGCTCGGCGGGGGGGGGGAGGCTACGGGCTCCAGCTGTTTCTGTTCGAAGGGTCCCCTACACCCCCCCCCGCCTGCGCCCGCCGGGCGTCCAGAGCCCGCTCGCGCCTGCCTGCCATGACCACCCCAGCCCGACCCGCAGGCCCGACGTTCGGCGGGGGGGAGGGTACGGGCTCCGGGCTCCATCTGTTTTTGTTTGAAGGGTCCCCCCCCCCACTGGAGATGGAGGGCAGATCGGGGCCTTCGGGTTGGGGTAGTAGGGAGCCCACACAGGGCGCACGCGCCCGGCCATGTGCATGAGCACGGCCCCCGGATGCGCGAGACCGGCCGCGTTATACCAGCATCTGCGCAATTCGGGGATGGACAAACCTCCCTTTAATAAAACGTGGTTTGGTGAGAACGACCTCGGGGCCAAACCTGGCGGGCGCAAGCCTGGAAGATGACGGCCGCGCCGCCCTCTCGAGCACCGAAAACGGACAATTCACGAATCGACGCGTCAGGGCAGGAGGCCTGTCCACCCCCGAGCAATGCGCACTCTCGAGGCCAGCGCGGATTCATGCACGTGCACGTCCTTCATTTTGGGAGTCCCGAAACGGTGCGGTGACAGGCCGTGCGGTGACCTCGGCACCCCAAGAAACCTCACCGCACGGTCCGCCACCGCACGGTCCTGGGACCCCGGAGGCCCCTGTCGCCCGAGACGCCCTGGGAGAGGGACCCGAGCCCCCGAACCGTGCGGTGAGGCCCCGAATCCCCACAGACCCACCGCACGGCTGTGGTCACCGCGCCGTTTTGGAGGCTCCAGGTCTTTCGCTTTCCCGAGCCGGGGCGGCTCGGCGCCCGGAGCCCGCTCGGCCGAACCCAGAGGTGCAACGTCATCAAAGTTTGACAACATGATGATATAGCATGTTGTTATCAAATGTGTTTGATAACGTGGTATGTGTTTGATAACACGTTGTATGTTGGTGCATTTTTGTTATATGCCCGCATGATTTTTCATGTGGTAACTACACCACCTAACAATTTTTCCAGTATCATCCTCTTTCTCATATTCCGCCTCCTCCTCCTCGGGCTCCTCCCCTCCTCCTCCTCATCCCTTCCTCCTCCTCCTCCCCCCTCCCTCCTCTTGTTGGCGACGAGGGCGACGACTGCAACTGGGAGGGTGGCGACAACGACGCCGACGGCGAAGATGGCGAACATCAATCGCGCATTAGGCTCAACATCGTCGTTGCATCGCGCGCGGGCGTTTAAGGAATGAGCGCCGAGAAAATCAAGGAGGCACGGGCTGCGCGTTTGGAGTGGGCTCGCCAGCAGAGCGCAGCAGCACCACCACCACCAACCGACCCCGCAGCAGCAACAGCGTCAGCAGCAGCAGCAGCAGCACCAGCATTATCAGCAGGCACGTCCGCATCCCAGAACGCCCTCGCATAAATGGAGGCGGCCAAATCAAAGGGCCTGATAACGGCAGGTGGGAAGTACCTGTACGTAAAGGAGGGGGAACGCAGGGAGGAGGAGAAGGAGGAGAAGGATAAACAACAGACAAAGGATAATGGCAGCTCCCGCCGTTGAGGCGCGCGGTGGCCGCCCAAAAGAGACGTCACCGCCGCCGTCGTGATAGTCGTGCCCCTCGTCTCATTACCTCCTTCCGCGCCCTCCTCACGTTGCACCCTTCCTGTTTGTAATATTGTCCCTCTTCCTGCCGCTGTTCCATCACATCCTCATCGTCGTCGTCCTTTTCATCCTCTGCGCACTCCTGCTAGTCGCTGTCGGCCTGGGCCCCATCGTCCGTTTCTGCTCTCCGCCGCAGGAGCAGGCTTCCCCAGGCTCTGAGAAGCAGGAGGGGCAGGAAAGAGGAGGTGGAGGAGGAGCAGGAGCAGGAGGAGGAGGGGGGGGAGGAGGAGGAGGAGGAGGAGGAGGAGGAGGAGGAGGAAGAGGAGGAGGAGGAGGAGGAGGAAGAGGGGGAGGAAGATGTTGAGGAGGAGGTGGTGGAGGGGACGCGTAAGCTCTTCGGAAAAACCCTCATCCCACCCCTCCTCCTCTCCTCCTGCTCCTCCTCCTCCTCCTCCTCCTCCTCTCCTCCTCCTCCTCTCCTCTTCTGCATCCTCATTACTTTACTACCCTCTCCTCCTCCTCCTCCTCCTCCTCCTCCTCCTCCTCCTCCTCCTCCTCCTCCTCGTCCTCCTCCTATTCCTCCTCCTCCTACTCCTCCTCCTCCTCCTCCTCCTCCTCCTCCTTCCTCCTCCTCCTCCTCCTCTTCATCCTCCTCCTCCTCCTCCTCCTCCTCCTCCTCCTCCTCCTCCGCCTCCTCCTCCTCCTCCTCCTCCTCCTCCTCATCCTCCTCCTCCTCCTCCTCCTCCTCCCCCTCCCTGCATCATTGCCTCCCTGCCTCCCCGCCTCCGTGCCTCCCTCCCTCCTCCCTCCCTCCCTCCCTCATCCCCTCCCCCCCCTCCCTCCCTCGTTCCAGTGCCCCCCTCCCTCCATCTCCCCCCCTCCCCCCCCCTCCCCCCCTCCGCCCTTCCCACCCTTTGTCCCCCGCTCGCTCACCCATCCGATCCCTCCCTCCTTGGCGGCTTCCGCGCTCGCTCCCTGCCCCCTCCATTCCTTCATCCCTCTCTCCCTGTCCTTCTCTCTCCCTTCCTCCACCCTCCTTCTCGCCAAGCGAACTGCGCTGCTGGTATGCGTTCCACCAAAAGCTGGGGAGCTCCAGCGGGCATCCGCTGGCGGCCGAGAGAATGTCCTACAACATTGGCGCACGGCAACGATTAGAGTATGTTCCGTCCGCCCCCTACCGTTCACTATCATACTCCCCTGTCGAAGCCAATCGTCGGTTGCCTGTCTAGGCCAGCATGGGTGCCATGGTGTAAAACGGCTCCTGTTACCCCCTCCCGCCCCTCTCGAGTGACGAAACATTTCACAGCGAGAGGAGCTGAATCCAGACGGCCATATGCTTCTTCGTTCAGACCTGGAGCGCACGTTGGGTGAGGTTTCTGACAGTCTCGAGACCAACTCTGAGTCTTCGCGAGCGGCCACATGAGAGCCAGCACGAGCAACCAAATGAGAGCCAGCACGAGCAGCCACGTGAGAGCCAACGCGGGCAGCAAGAGCCGTGCCAGAACGCTCGCGCGGACAACGAGCCCGAGGGAGCGGCCAAGCTGGAGCCCAACTTGATCGGTTTCGGGAGGCCCGTCGGGCCCGCCGGGTGGACGTCGATCGGCCCAGTCGCCCTCGCTTTCGATGGGGGCGGCCCGCGGAGAGGAGCTCCGCTGCCGCATCTCAACAGGAGTTGGTTGGATCCGCCGCCACGCGGCGATGTCCAAACAACTCCCATCAAGCGGCTGAACCCTGGAGGGGGTGGAGGCGCGAGCCCCATGCCCTCGCACAGCCAGCCCTGCACGTTGCTCCGAGCCTTCGCGCGGATGAGTGACACGGCCTCGGCGTTCGAAATCCTCTGCTCGGGCTCGGAGGCGCGCTGAACGGGCGGGTCGTATAATCCCCAAACTGTAGCATATGGATCAGGAGCGGGCGCGGATCATCTGGCTCCCAGCCTCCGCCAGGAAGAGTATATTGTGGCTCCATAGCGCAACAGGTCGAGTAAGCCCCCCTAGAATCGCGTCGGAAGTGAAGTCACTGGACAGAAAAAAAAAAACATGCAGGG